ACTGGAAGGGCTTAGCTGCCTGCAGAGACAGCCAAGGCTCATCATTTCAGGAGAAGATTATTGAAAACCCGAGTAACAGGTAGTCGGAGGAGAGCAAAAAGGAAGCAAGATCCTCCAAGCCAAGTCACCTTGGAGGCAGGCTGGGCTGGTGGGTGGAGTCTGCTCACTTTCAGGTTCTTACAGACTGAATGGACCCTCCGCTGAGCTGCCCTCCACACGGACGGAGTCACGGAAGGGTACATACAGCCTCGTTCCTCAGGCGCCCTCCCTCAAACCAAGATGTGTTTTTGCTGTGTTAATTAAAAATAGACCAGCTGGTAGGGCACTTTGGAAGAACAAAATAAAACTTTGGTTTCACTGGAAGACGTCCCAGAGGAAAGGCCGCGTGCGGCTGGTATATTCTAATGACTGCCTTTTGGAAACCAGGTCTTGACCATGTCCTAATATGGTGGTTTTAAGTTGTTGGCCCAAATTCTTTAAAGACATATTAAACATCTGCCAACGTTTTAGTGAACTTAACAGGTTCCACTGACGTTTTCCTCAATTTTCAGATTTAGGCGGAATTTGCTTTCATGTCCTTTTTCCAAAACCAAGTCTCTTGACAGCACATTGGTTTCTCCTGTTCACTTGTTCTAGCCTGCATCAGAAAGCAGAATTACTGTACTTCTGTTTGACAGATGACCACCTGACAGGACCAGGACCCTAAGAGGTAAGGAGAGGCAAGGGCCCTTGAGCTTGAATGGAAGCAGCCTCTGGGGGGGCAGCCACGGTCCTTCAAGGGAGAGCAGCTCTTCAGCAGGTGGCTAGAGTGCCACGTGACTCTCTGCAGATGATCCCTGGGAGCCAGGGGAGGGGCACCTGGGTCTTTTTTCTTTTTCACTGGCTAGCTTGATCCTCAGTGGCAAAAGGACCCCAATCCCTTTCTCCGAGCCCTGGAGCACTGCTTGGGACACCAAGTGGCCTAGGGTCTGGGTTCAGAGCTCCTCCCGCAGGTGGAGCCTCAGGAGTGGAGGCAGCTGCTGATGGGTGTGGAGTTTACAATTTCCTATGGTTCCTAAGGCAGGTAGGCATTTTCATTGCTCAGCAGAACCCTGGCACCCCACAGAGCCCCTGGCGAACTTGCTTTCTTCCCCGCTGTGGTCCTTTTAGTCCCCGCTCTGTGGAAGGCCAGGCAGCTTGGGTGTAAACAGGTATCCTTTATGGTTTCCAAATGAATTATTTGTGTGAGAGTAATTAAGTCTGCAAGACAACCTGTTGAGATTCTTCACTACTTTGAGACTACTGATTTCTACAAAATGTACTTTAGCAAAAATGCCATGGTGGCCTAAGATCGGCAGGCTGATTGCCAGGGGTAGCTCCATGGGCACTCCCAACAGCTTCGGTAACCATCCTCCATGTCCGGTAGAAACCTTTGCTAGGCGGTACCTGTGGCCTGTTAGCTTTGCTTTATGATTTCATATTCCTTTTAAAGGCTGTTTTGCATGTTGAATATTAAATTCTTGTTTTCTGTGTCTTCCTCTAATGAAGTTTTACTTTTTTCTGTAATGGGCGCTTCAGGGTAAATACAGAGATTATGGCAAAGTGATAATTTAATGATTGAAACTTAATTTGTCCCCAGTGATTCCTTAAACTTTTTTTGGAGCTTTCACACAAGCTTTTTTTTTTTGAACTGGAGCACGTTGGAGGCAGAGATAAATCACCCTGTGTGCCGGCTTTGCCTGCCGTGAGCCAGGGAGGAGTCTGAGAGGAGGTGGGCACATCAGTGACTGGGGTTTGGCCAGATATGCCCTATTTGCAGAATTAAATCATTTCAAGATGCATGTCAAGGCCTGGCGTGGTGGCTCATGCCTGTAATCCCAGCATTTTGGGAGGGGAGCAGATCACTTGAAGTCAGGAGTTTGAGAGCAGCTTGGCCAACATGCTGAAACTCCCGTCTCTATTAAACATAGAAAAATTAGCCAGGCATGGTGGTGTGCACCGGTAGTCCCAGCTCCTCGGGAGATGGAGGCAGGAGAATTGCTTGAACCTGGGAGGCGGAGGTTGCAGTGAGCTGAGCTTGTACCTCCGTACTCCAGCCTGGGCCACAGTGAGACTGTGTGTCTCAAAACAGAAGATGCATTTTAAGTTTAGCTCTCAGCCTCCACAAAGTGTAGTGCACACCCTTTCGGTTGTATTATAAAATTTCCCAAGCTTTTTCAGAGACCTTCTTAGCCCTCGCAGAAGTGGAGAGGCCAGGAGCCCCAAGAATAGGGTTTGCAGGCTCCCAGTAAGCTGCCTGCTCTAACGGAAGATGGGGTGTTTGCAGCAGGCAGCTCTGCCGCCTCACGGCTCAGCAGGCCTTCAGAGGTGAAAGCAGTCTCATTACCGCCTTTCACACCATGAGCCTTTTCTTCCATGGTCAGATGGACTTAGTTACCAGCGATGGGCCTAAGGCCTGAGACACTACAGAAGGTTAGAGGATGGAGAATGAGGGACAGAGAAAAGAGGGGCTAAGAGGAACACCTGCATTTGGGAATACAGTAAGGGACATCCCACCAGTGACACTCCTTGGGAACAGTCACTGCCTTAGAAACACTAGACCAGAATTTTCTGACCCAGCACCCCAAAGGTAGGCCACGCAAGATGGCGGTTAGGAAGGAGGCGGCCTAGCAGGTGAAGACTTCCTTGCCATCCAGTCAGCCCCCTTCTGGTTGAACAGTGGGAAGTCCTTTTAAAGCAGTCACCTGAAGAACGTTCAGTAGATATGTGGGGAGTCTCTGCCTTGGAAGCTCTCTGCAGGAACCTCACTCCTGTTCCTTGCCTCCTCTTGAAGGCTAGTTTTGCTGTTTCAGTTCCTTTGTCCTGACTTTGATGAACTTTCAGGAACTACTGTCGTGCCCTAGCTTAGAAGGAATAAAGATAACCAGAAAGCAGAACCTTCGGGAATCTTACACTGGGAGGATAGGGGAACGTGACTCAGTCCCTACAGTAGCATAGTTCATTGTAAACAGACATGCTGACCATGGTAACATGCTGTACTTTGTGCCTGATTGTTAATGTGACGAGAACAGCTGGACATTTACATGAAGAAGGGAAAATATGTGTTTCCGGGGATAAAGAAAGGATCACGTCTTTTCTTTCCTGACAGTGTCATTGAACTGCTTCCTGACATAGCCTCTCCAGCAGCCAACAGGTTAATGAGAGATTTCCTTTCTCTGTGTGAACTGGGGTCTTTCCTTTTGGAATCCGACTTTAATAAAACAATTAGGTTGCTCATTTTGAAATAACCATGGTTTTTAGCAGACTTTTATGCTATTAATAAACAACTTTGCTCGAAGGATTTTAGCCAATTCCAGAAGCCAGTGTAGTTGAGTGATTTAGTGGGCATGTGTATCTCACTTAACATGGCATGCAGGAGAAGTGCGGGGCTGGGACCTCAGCAAGCCACACCACCCCCGACACACTCAACCCTGGTCCTAGGTTTTCTCAGGTAGAATCACCACTTGCCTTCCTGGATGCGACGACATTGAAGTGAGACAAGGTGATGTCCAAAGGCTGGCATATTTCCTGGCCGTGCTGATTACTGCCGTTTTTTCCCAGCATGCCCGAGGGGTATTTCATAGGCTATCGTGTTTAGTGTCATCGGGAGAGCACGTGTGCCAGTGGTCCATCAGGTTCACCCAATGTTCAAACCCAGAAGACTGGTGAGGAAAATACTTCGGCATCAGTGATGATGGCTGCACAGCTCTTCGGAGGACGCTCAAAGCACTCAATCAAACTTCAAAGGGGTGAGTGTTATATGAATTCTATCTCAACCTGAGGTGCTGGTTCAGTAGCCTAGCTGGGGCTCATGGGTTTGCTTTTTTGGGGAGGGAAGACTGGGTCTTGCTCGTGTACCCAGGTTGGAGTACAGTGGCACAACCAAAGCTTACTACAGCCTGGACCTCCTGGGCTTAAGCGAGCCTTCCAACACCAAACCTTTTTTTGTAGAGACAGGGTCTTGCTGTGTTGCCCAGGCTGTGTCTAACTCTTGGACTCAAGCAGTCCTCCCACCTCAGCCTCCTAAAGTTCTGTGATTACAGGCGTGAGCTACCTTGCTGAGCCAGGTTTGTGTTTTTTTGTTTTTCTGAGGTAGGGTCTTGCTTTGTCACCCAGGCTGGAGTGCAGTGGCATGATCACTACTCCCTGGATCCTCGACCTCTTGGGATCAAGCCACCCTCCCACCTCAACCACCCACGTAGCTGGGACTACAGGTGTGTGCCAATTTTGTATTCTTTGTAGAGCAGCGGTTTTGCTATGTTGCATAGGCTGGTCTTGAACTCCTGGGCTCAAGTGATCCACCCGCCTTGGCCTCCCACAATGTTAGGATTATAGGCTTGAGCCACCGTACCAAGCCGGCTTTGCATTTCCAGTAAGTGCCATGTGTCGGACTAGTCCCAGGACCTCTTCTGAGAGCCCAGGTTCTAGGCCAGCCATGCAGGTGGCACCTAAATAGGGCTGGTGCGGTTTAGGTGCAATCTTACTCTTCAGACAGCATTCTCTTAGTGTCACTGAAATAGTTTCTATTAGATGTTCATAGTTCAGGAAAACACTTTGATGGGTAACTTAAGTCTCTGCAATTTTTTTTTAAACTAGGAAATACCCCTTATAAACCAAATAAATGCTGAGTCACATAGGAAAGGTTAAAAAAAGTCTCAAAGCTGTGCTTTGAGGACTGACCAAGATAATCCATAGAAAGCACCTAGCCAGTGCTTTGCACACTAGCCCATTAAAAGCCAACAGTTCTGTTCCAACTCGTGAAGATTTTAATTCACAGAGCGCGCTGGTCTGAATGGTTTCAAAGTACTCTCGTCCCCCAACGAGGACACTGATAATAAACTGGTCTCTTTCTCACCTCCAAGCCGACCCTCCTGTTGCTCAAGGGTTTCTAGTTGTGGCTTCTGTGTGCTGCTGCTTCCTCAGGTCTGACTTGTGTTCATGCCAAGCGCATGGCAGAGCAATAGGAAACGCACACACTGGGATTGCTTCCTTCTCATTTATTCACATTGCATGGATTGTTACACTTCCTCCATGGGAGCATTCGAAAAATAACACAGCTAAGATAATGTTGTCTGAGGATTCAAGTGTTTTCCTTTTAGAGAACAGCTTCCTATTTAAAGTGAAAAGGAAACAATTTATCCATCGGATTGCTAACAAGCTTTATATTTCTGTTACTACTGTGTCTGCATCAAAGGGAGAGTCCTTCTCCTCAATGATTGTTACTGGCTGAGAACAGACAGTGGCCTGTGCCGAGTGCCGGATTGGAAGAGACCTCACTGTCATCTGCCATACTCCAGGACACACCAGTTTCTACTTAAAATTCCCACCTCCAGAATGAGGACTCATCAGGGGTTTAGGAGTTTGCAAAGCCTTCAAATGCATCATGCTTCAATTCTGACTCTTCTGAAACAGAGTAACTGACAAATGCTCAAAAAACAAACTTGTTTACCTTTAGCTTTTACTGAAAAGGCTCTCAGTGAAAATTTGTTTTGAACTCTTAGTAGAGAAGAAGGTAGAGTATTCGTTTTTCTTCCCCTCTACACAGAAAAGGTAGTTTTTTGTTTTTTGGCAGGCAGCATATATAAAATGTGATCTGGAATTTAAGTTGTAACATAGAATAATCCTCTTAAAATCAGTCCATGAACAGTTGGGCTTGTCTTTCCGCGAAAAACAATCTAAACTAATTTAAAAACTGGGCAGATTTTCAGTCTGTAATTCTAATAGTGAAGACGGCGTAACAAATTTTTTTGCTTACTAGGAATGCACAAAAGGATGAGATGGACACACAGGCTTTTTTTTTTTTTTTAAAAAGGCCACTGGGATACTTAGTATTTGTCAAGATGCCAAACAATTTTAGAATAACAAAATACACACCTTCCTTTAGGCCTGTATATGATACAATTCACAGATCCTCAGACAAAAGATGAAAATTTCAGTCCACATTAAATGTTTTAAAGCCTAATTTTGTTAAACTAAACCCATAAATCAGAATTAGCTGTTAACATAGTGGGGAAAATAGGTAAGCCCTCCAGGGGCCCCATGCCCCAAGTAAAAAGGAGTTAAATTTTACAATAAAGTCCACATACACTCAGGCTCTTTACACTGATAAAGTGGAAACCAACCAGTTCTAAAGCATAAAAGTCATCTTAAGAAAATATCACATTTTGAGTTATGGTATATGCATCACATTTTCCCCTGTAATTTTCACCTTAACAGTGACAGTCTTAGCAGCAACAATTTGCTGGGAATGTTAGGAAAAAAGAAAGCCACACATACCCACGAATTTAAAAATACAGAAACGATTTTGTACAGAATGGAGAGGCTTCACAGGTAATCCAATCATGATCTTTTCATGCCATTTTGTGTAAACTTTGCATACACACACAGAAGTGTCCCAAGGATGCCTGCAAGCTTCTGATTCCAGCTGGTGCCAGGGGCACGTGTGGCTAAGATGCAGCAAACTTTGTTCCCCTTGGTTCCTCTTCATCTTTTTAAAAGTTGAATAAACCTCAGGTGAATTGGGCCGGGCCGGTATTATTTTAACAGCATCAACCATTTGCTTACTGTAACTCATCTGCAACAAACACTCACGTGCACTCTCAATTATAAAGTAAATGTAAAAACAATGGCCACGTCCTCCCTAGGTGCATGCTACAGCTATGTCTGAACGCATCCTGTAACAGTACAAGCACGCCTCTCTGCAGGGATTCATCCAAAGCCATACACTAGGCCAAATTCCCCTGGTGGAATCGAAACACTGAAAGTACAGCAAGAACCTCATGACAGCGTTGGCCCAATCACACACCTCAGGTACTCAGGAGTTAATCATAACTGATCATAAAATTGCCCCCCCCAAAAAAAACTTTATACCTGAAGATTGTAGTTTTAAAAAAGCATCTGTACCATCCACAGTTATTTTGACTACTCTTTTCTAAATGAGAATACACTCTGCACTGAAGATCAGAACATACACACGTGAGCCCTTGGGCACTGACCCTCAGCATCTACACAACATCAGCTGGTACTAGTCTCAAATGATTCATGAGAAATGAAAGTGGAAATTTAAACGTTAAATTTTGAATCTCATTCATGTGCCCAGAGTCTTCATGTTACCTGAAGAATGCTCATGTTACCTGACAGCTCTGGAAGTGACATGGATATGTGTGTGCATAACCATGGCTTCCTTCCAGACACATGGAATCTTCTTAAAAAAGTAAAGATATTTGGGCCGAGCACGGTGGCTCATGCCTGTAACCCCTGCACTTTGGGAGGCCAAGGTGGGTGGATCACGAGGTCAAGAGATCGAGACCATCCTGGTCAACATGGTGAAACCCTGTCTCTACTAAAAATATAAAAAATTAGCTGGGCATGGTGGCGCGTGCCTGTAATCCCAGCTACTCAGGAGGCTGAGGCAGGAGAACTGCCTGAACCCAGGAGGCGGAGATTGCGGTGAGCCGAGATCATGCCGTTGCACTCCAGCCTGGATACAAGTGAAACTCTGTCTCAAAAAAAAAAAAGCTATTTCAGGTATCAAACGTATGCTACACTGCTGTCTAAAGTTAAAGGCAAAATGTACACACGATTTTCTCTTCCACGAGCTTATTCCATGTTTCCCACTGAATTCACATGGCTCATGTGTCAAAGCTCCCAGGCACTCACTCGGTAATGGTTTTCACACGTGCGGGGCTGATGATGGTACACAGGCCTATGAGCATCACCTTTTCCCAGGACGGTTTCATTCTGAGCTCCCTTTCATTTCATACGGGCTCACTGTCCGTGGTGTACATGATCAGCTACCAAATTTGTGCTTTTAAACTCATTCCTGGCAATCCCCCCTTAATTTTGTCTTTAGGGGAATAAAGAAGTAACGGCACCTCATGAATAGAAACTACAAAACCAAAAACTCCTTCACAAGCTACTCATTTCCTTTTAAAATGAAAATGCAAATTCCTGAATTCCAGTGGAGCAGCCCACAGGGTTACAGGCCAATGATTAGAACAGAGGTGAACACTCAGTACTCACATTTTAGCTTAAAAATCAAAAAGCAGAGGACAAACATCTGTCACAGCATGGCAGTCCGGTTCATTTGGTAACAGAACGAGTCACATGTCGGTCGAGCCCACCGGAGAGAAGCATACAGGCCAGCTTCCTTCTGGACACGGCCGGGCACCCTGTTCCACAGTCTCTCTGGTGGTGGCAGCAGACCCCAAAACCCACGGGTTAGAAGAGCCTTTGGGAAAGCGAATCGATACCCTGATTGCAGTCCTTGAAGAAATCACTTATGGTTAGTTTAATAAACAAGGGAACATTAAAAAAAAAATCTTCCAAAAATTGCATTCAAATGTATTTTACACTTTAGACAGTTCTTAAGAAGGGAGAGTACGGTTTCTTGACACTTAACATGTAAAGGTTTTATTGGCTATGTTAATCTTCTTCACAGGAGTTTTAAGTTAATCTATAAGTCCTTAGAATGTCAAAGAGAAGAAAAAGTAAGTTTAAGGGGGTGGGAGAAGCAGCAACTTGGTAATCATTCCACAGCCGACCTCGCGTGTTCAGGCATCCCTTTTCTCCAGTAAAATTTTGTGCAACTCCTCTGCATCCTCGCTGGTTTTTACCCGAATCAACATGGTAACTGGGACGGTGGCGTTCTTCTCATCAATTGGTGGATTTGGAACACAGACGATAAGAACATTATTTTTCCCTGTTCGGGTACATGGCATATTGGGCGGAATCAGAACATTCAACAATATGTTGCCTGCATGTAAACAAACAAAATCCATCAAACGTACATAAACCACAGCTCACCAAAGGCGTCTGTAACATGCTACACAGTAAACATTAAAACAACTTATACTCAATGGATCTGACATGGGGGCCAACGGGAGTGTCAGAAAACTAGGACTGGTTGTCCGAGAACTGAGAGCCCCAGGCAGGACTTGCCCTAGGCTCCAGCCCGAGTCTCTGCACGCACACAGCGTTTCTCCCAAAGCCAACAGCCTTGCTCAGAACCGTCAGCCCTCCCAACACTGTCTGTTTTTGCACTGAAGGAAGAACACGGTGGCACAACCCAGAGTCTTCACTGAGCCACACCAACAAAGGACATGTGTGTCACAGGGGCCAGCACAGCTCCCTGGGCGAGAGTGACATGACCGTGCTGTTATTACTCACTAGTTAAGCCCATGGGAAAGAAAAACGCCTCCCTGGAGTTTCCTTCTGCAACACAGCCCACTGTTCGCCACCACTACTGCCCCCTCCACCTCGGGCCTGCCCTCCCTCCTCCTCCTGCGTGCTAGGCCCCTTGCACTGGACTGCGTTCAGGGTAAAGCTGAGGGTAGACAGTGATGCATTCGTGATTACCTGCCACATAAAAAGGATTCCTTTAGAAGGTTCATTTCCCCTGGGTGTTTATTACACTAATCTCTAACTTGTCACATTCCTAACACAAACAGAAATGAAAATCATTTTGTTTACAGCTTTTGACACATCTATGTTTCCTTACACACTATTATCCTGGGACTCAATCTATACTCAATAAATATAGGATGGATTTGGCCAGAATGTGCTCCGTTTAAAAACACATGAATAACTTTGAGTCAGCGGTAAAGGCTTTTACATCGATGATTTTGTGCCAACTGAAAAAAGGTACCCACCTAAATTGGTGTCTGCCCGCACCAAAAGCTGTGTCTTCTGATTCACTGTAGGTTTTAAATGCAGAGTGCCTATGCCTTTCTCTTTAAACTCATTGTCTTTCTTGTAAAATAGTTTACACCTATGGAGAAAAGCAATAGGTCCTATCAAGCGTTCAATGATGAATCAAGTCACACAGCTGTCTACAACCACTCTTCACACTTGTGTGGAAAATCTGTATTAAGTGAGAGTACAGGAAACTTTAGGATAATCTTTAATTGATCCAAACTGAACCTGACCAAAAACCAGAACAAGAAAACCTGCTTAGAGATACTAAAACCCCTCCCCATTTTTTCAAATTAAACAATGGGCCCCATGAAAGTTTTTATAACACTTTCTGAAACCGTGTTCTCAAGTCAGTCAAACTCAACAGCGCCCCCTCCCTGTTCTGCTCCTTTGTCCCCGAGCTTGAGAGAGCTGCTCTGGTCTTCTAAAGACAGGAGCAAATACAGGACAAAGATTCTGTCCTGCATCTCACCTGCCCCTCCTTTTTTGGGGCCTATTTCTTATTTTAAAAAGTCTCAAGGCTCCTTCAGTTTTTGACCAACATTTTGGAATAAACGTGGAAAACGTTCTTGGGTAGGGTCTAAATAACAAAGCAATCAAATGCTTTCCAGCCTTCTATGCTATACATCTCCTGAGGTTATTAATAATACAACCCCATTCATTTGATTCATTTATTCATGTATTTATTTTGAGACAGTCTCTCTCACTCTGTGGCCCAGGCTGGAGTGTAGTGACGTGATTTTGGCTCACTCCAACCTCTGCTTCCCAGGTTCAAGTAATTCTTGTGCCTCAGCCTTCCAAATAGCTGAGATTATAGGCGTGCACCACTGCACCTGGCTAATTTTGGCATTTTTAGTAGAGACAGGGTTTCACCATGTTGGCCAGGTTGGTCTGGAACTCCTGACCTCAGGTGATCTGCCCGTCTCAGCCTCCCAAAGTGCTGGGATTACAGGCGTGAGCCACAGCGCCTGGCCTCATTTGATTCATTCTAAAACAATAAAAAAATCTTAAAGTTGAGTCACTCCTTTATGTCATGTGAGTAATGAAATTTAAACCCATAAAGAAGAAATTGTTGGCCTCTTTTAAAAGTTCTTGAAACTAACACCTGGGAGTCTCACAGGATGTGGTGACTGTTACATGGAAAACTGCTGGCTCATTATTCTGAAATGTTTGCATTACAAAAACACACCTTAAAAGCTTCTGAAATGGCACAAAGGTTTTTTTCAGCAAATATCTTTGTAAAAACAATCTCATTTAATTGAAAGGAAGACGCAAGTTCTTACTTTCCTACACAGGAAGGAATGGTTACTGTGCACAACTTTTTGACTATGAGAAAATCCAGAAAGGCCAACCAAGTCTCCAGGAAGGGATCAGAGATGCCTCCAGAGTAAAGTGAGTGAAGCCAAACCTGCAATCAGTGACCTGAGATTCCTTTGTTAGGGGAGTAGGAGCGGGAGGGAGTAAAAAGAAGAGAAGATGGGACAGCATGGAGTTGGGAGGATCATGGAAAAGCCTGTCTCTAGCACTTTAAAAGACCTAAAGCGACAGAAAAGAGTGAGACTTGCCCACCAGGACATTTCTAGAACTGGCTTTTTAAAAATAAGCTGGCCAAGAATTCTTTCCTATTTCACTTGAGAGCAGGCAAAGCTTGACCCCAAGACTGAATGCTCAGGTAAGTGCCGTGAGGACGTTCTCCAGCCTGAAGCACACTACCATGTCTCTAAAACACACGCACCAGCAGGTTCTGGTGATTCTTACTTTTTGGAGTAAAAAGCGTCGTCTTCTTTTACTTCAGTAACTACTACTTTGGGTGGCTCATCACTCTCTTCTTCATCTCCACCTTTTATAAAAAATGACAATAATTCAGTCAGATTCCAACCCAGAGCTTAAAGTAACAAGTTTTGTTATGTAACACCCTAAACCTCCAGCTGAGCACTCCATGTACCAACAGACTAAAATGCACACCCAATGAGGGGATGGCAGAGGCGAGTGTCTGCTGGATTTTAACTACTTTATGAAAAATAAGCATCCTTTTTAATGGGAACATACTTAATGCTAAAATAACTCCCAGTACACGGAAAACCTTAGAATGGAAAAATCTCCATACTTATGACATTTACAGAAAAATAACACTCTGTATTCAAATTACCCACTTGAAAATGACATCTCAGATGGGATTTTAACACCTTCACCCCTGAATATTCCTGTGACCATATATCCGCAACCAGTATCAATAATGGCCAAAGACAGAAAAATATATATATTTTTTAAGCAGGGGGCAAGATGTCAGAGAAATCATTCCAAAGTCCCAACATAAGTAGTTTGAGCTTTGTCTGAATTGCCACGTGGGTCAGTGCTCTGGTATCAATGGTATCCCCACTAATGGGGTCTCCCATACACAGGAGATGTGGGACATCAGTTAAACAAAACACTATTTAAACACATGTATAGGCCAGGATCAGTGGCTCATGTTTGTAATCCCAGCACTCTGCATGGCCAAGGAGGGAAGATCGCTTGAGCCCATGAGTTCAAGACCAGCCCAGTCAACACGGTGAGAAGCGCCCCCACCATCTCTATGAAAAGTAAAGAAGTTAACCGGATGTGGCAGTGCATCCCTGTGAACCTAGGTCCTTGGCAGACTGAAATGGGAGGCTCACTTGAGCCTGGGAGGTCAAGGCTGCAGTGAACCGTGATTGTGCCACTGCGCTCTAGCCTGGGTGAGAGTGAGACCATCTCAAAACAATTAAAAAACCACATATATAAAAGATCCTCTTAAAAAGAATGGCAGTTGCATAAAAAGTCACTAAAAAGCAATTCTAAGAAAAAAACTGTGATGCTCAGATGACTAGATCACATCATTTAAATTAGATAGGACTGTCCATTTTATCACTCCAATCTCCCATCTTCTGATGCATAAACTGTGATAACCAAGGGACTGAGGGGCACCCTGCATCCACTGGGACTCGATTCAAATCCAGCGTCGCTGTCCCAGCACCTGCCTCGGGAAAAGACTCCCCATGTGTCTTTATTTCTGGGAGGCAGAGAAGTAAAAGGGGACACACTGACTTCACCCTTGATCCTGAGGGCCTGTGCCTGAGGATACACTTGAAAGTATGGCAAGGCAAAACATTAACGTAAGTCTAGCCTCCTGCTAGAAAAACATTTCAGTGGCAAACTGGCAAATGCAGTTTTCTTCCTCAAGGACCAATGTTCATATGTCTGAGGAGCACACCTTTTGTTGAGACAAGGTCTTTCTGTGTTGCCCAGGCTGGAGTGCAGTGGTGCAATTGTGGCTCACTGCAACCTTGAACTCCTAAGCTCAAGAGATGCTCCCACCTCAGCCTCTAGAGCAGCTGTGACTATAGACACCCACCACCTTGCCTGGGTATATTTTTAAAAATTTGTGTAGAGATGGGGTCTTGCTATGTTGCCCAGGCTGGTTTCAAACTCCTGGCCTCGGGTGAGCTTTCCTCTTCAGCCTCCCAAAGTGCTGAGATTACAGATGTGGGCCACCTCGCCTGGCCTTACTTTTAATTGCTTACAAGTAGGTATCTTCACAGACATCATTTGTTCACAACCACCGTATGAGGATGTGGTATTATGGTATCACCCCACTTTTTAGCTAAAAACAGAGGGAGTGAATGGCCCAGATTAAGGCCCAGACCTTTGCCTGGTCTGGGGCACTGACAATACCTACAGGAGATGCCACTTAGATACTACGTGGGGCTGTCTTCTGGAAAGGAGGTACCTCCAAACCCACAGGAGGATTTGTTCTCTGTAGCTATGAAAAGTCTCTATAGCTATGAACAAATCAACACTGTTGATATGTTCTCTATAGCTATGTAGAGTCTACGTTTTTACTGTGTAGTCAAGTACTGTTTTGCCACGTGACTTTACTTAGTCAAATCTCCTAAGTTCAGATCAATTCAGGGGACATTCATAATGAACTTGAACTTTTCCAAAACACAATTTTCAAAAAACGTCTTTACTTCTTTTTTATATGCTACGCCACGTGTGTTTGACACTTTTCAAGGTCAGATGTTTTCAATTTCATTTTAATTATTTTTAATCCTTATAAACAACCCTACAAAATAGGTCTTACTCTTTTAAAAATAAGGAATCTGAAACTCAGAGATCACACATGGAGCGGGCGATGTCTCACTGTGACTGCAGATCACCTCCAAATCCAGGCCTTTATCTTTCTCAAACACAAATCTTACACAAATCTAAATCAGTGACAAGCCTGGTACTTACCTTTGCATTCGCTACTGTCACCTTCTACTTGGCCCTCCAATGGTTTAGCGGGAAATGGTGAAGAGACTGGTTTACTCTGGGTAATATCTTTGCCAAGTAAACTGGAGTTTCCTGGGGAAAATGAAAATCCAGTCAGGGGGACAGAGCTTAATGAGCCCACAACAGAGCTATCAACTTTCTTGCCGAAGTTAAATGAGGCACTTGTTGCTCCTAGTGATGGGTCCGTTTTCTTTTCAGCTGCAACCTCCACCTTCTTTTCAGGTGTATCTTCAGTTTTGTTGCCATGAAACAAAAACACTGACTCTTGCTGTAATTTTGTTGAGCCAAAAAGGGAAAGAGACTGTGTTTCAACCGCCGTTTTGTTAGATTCACTTTCAGAATTGCTGCCACCGTCCCCGTGCTGCTGTTCAATGTTTGCTAGATATTTCTCATAGTCTTTAAAGATGGGCGTCAGATCACAGAGTGGGTTTGTATTCACGTGCTTCACTATCCAATCCCGGACGGAGCAGTTCAAGGCAGCCAACTGCTTGTGATAGGCATTCCCGACACAAGCTTTACTGGAAGCAAGGCCAGAGGAGGAGGGCTGCTGACTGTCCCCATTCGTTTTGGGATTTGAAACTTTTTTCTCAACCAAGGAGGTAGGGCCATTTGCAGCAAGAGAACCTATAGGAAGTCAATAATCAAATCATTCAAGACAAACTTGATTAAATCATCTAGATTTTGTGCCATTCTGCCTTCGTACTTTTGCTTTTACTGTATCCCACCTTTCCCCACATCCCCAAGACAGAGTCTTGCTCTGTCACCCAGGCTGGAGTGCGATCTCAGCTCATGGCAACCTCTGCCTCCCAGGTTCAAGCAATTCTCCTGCCCCAGCCTCCCAAGTGGCTGGGATTACAGGCACCTGCCACCATGCCCGACTAATTTTTGTATTTTTAGTAAAGACGGGGTTTCACCATGTTGGCCAGGCCAGTCTCAAACTCCTGACCTCATGATCCACCTGCCTGGCCTCCCAAAACCCTGGGATTATAGGTGTGAACCACTGCGCCTGGCCAACTGTATCCTATTTTTGTGACAGCTCAAGAAATATGTATTCAAGGAGTAATATTTAGTAACCAGTTATCAGTAAAGCTGATCAATAAAGATCAAATCAAACTCTATGCAAGAACACTAACCACCACATGCTTGCATTAAGACACTACACAATTTAAAAATAATCTTTTCCTTCAAATGGATGCCTATCTGAGATGAGATCAGGTGTGTCCAGGATGGTGTGGCCACAGACAAAAGGATGCCTACAGTATTGTCAGAACAGTAGGTCAGGATTGACACTTAAGCCCCAAGGTTGTTGGGATAAACAGTATTAAAGTCCAGTTGGCCCTCTGTCCCTGCAGGTTCCACACCTGTGAAATGCGGTACTCAGTCAGCTACAGTGGCTCAGGCCCGTAATCCCGATACTTTGGGAGGCTCAGGCAGGCCAACTGCTTGAGCTCAGGAGTTGAAGACCAGCATAGTCAACATGGCAAAACATCATGTTTACAAAAAAAAAAAGAAAATACAAAAGTTAGCTGGGTGTTGTGACGAGCACCTATAGTCCCAGCTACTGGGAAGGCTGATGTGGGAGGATCCCTTCAGCTCGGAGGTTGTGGCTGCAGTGAGCCGAGATCACACCAATGTACTCCAGCCTGGGTGACAGAGCGAGACCCCGTCACAATGCAGTACTCTGGAGATGAGGAACCAGTAGGTATGGACACTCACTTTTCCTATCCAAGAGTTATGCTGGTCTCACTACGGGACTTGAACATCCACGGGATGCTGAAACCAATCCCCAGGACACTAGGGGAAGGCTGTAGTTAAAGATCTTAACCAAAAGCACCATTTTAAATCACACTAAACATTCGCCAAATTAAAATCAAACAGTGTGCACTATCTGAGTTCCTGGTAGGCATTTTGGTGCGAGTCACACAGAAAGCCCTTGGCACACAAAGGGTCTGTATGTCCATATAGCATTTTCTTTTCTCTTTTGACTCTAGGTCAATTCTGAGGGTCATTCTCCTTTCAAAACTGAACATCTGAGGCTTAGAGGCCGGGGTCACACACTGGTAGCGGGCAGAGCTGAGAAAATGAAGGTCGGTTTTGTGTGCTCTGCCGCATACGCTGAATAACCAGCACCTCCGAGTTCCATCGCTTTCCTTATTACGATGTGTTTGCTCACACAGGTCTAAGACAACAAAAACATCTTTGCAAAGTGCTTTTCCACAGATTCTACTTACACAGAGGTGGCTGGGGGAGGGGAGCCTACTTACCAAAGGCTACCTTGGGCTCTGCCGCTGCCCTTGCACTGGTGAAGGGAGGGGCACTGGTTACGTTGTTTCCATTTGAAATTCCTTCTAAAGGCTTCCCTCCAGCACTGCTACCAAATCCAGGAAACCGTCCTCCTCCAGAAGGTACAACCAAACCTTTGAAACCTTTAAAGGCTCCTCCACTGTCAGACTGAAATATAAAGGCAGAGTACACAGTAGGTAAGTATATTTTGCATTTCTTTCTGGAGATGGAGTCTCACTTGGTCACGCAGGCTGGACAATCTTGGCTCACTGCAACCTCTGCCTCCCAAGTAGCTGGGACCACAGGTGAGCGCCACCACGCCCGACTACTTTTTTGTATTTTTAGTAGAGATGGGGTTTCGCTGTGTTAGGCAGGATGGTCTCAATCTCCTGACCTCGTGATCCACTCTCCTCAGCTTCCCAAAGTACTGGGGTTACAGGTGTGAGCCACCACACAAAACCAAGTATACTTTCAATTACCAAATAAGCAAGTGAGTGACAATAGCATCTCGGCTAAATAGCGCTTGGACTCCATATGCAATCAGCATTATAAGGCAAACTGCTGGTACAAGCAGAAGTAAGAAATGAGATGGGAAGATTTTATTCTTAAGAACAGCTTTACAACCCAAAGCTGCGTTACTGAAGTAGGCAGGAAGGACATTTAAAAAATATATTTTAAAAACTGTATTATGTATATTTTTAGGACATAAAAGACTAATGCTATAAACTTATGTACCCACCACCCAGCCTCAGAATAACTGAAGTGTCTCAATAAAACTAAATCTGAAATGAAATTCTTCATGTACTACTCAAACACCATTTATTGCCTAAAGAAATTATAGAAACATCAAGTAAGGTTAACTAAAAATATCCACTTATCTGATTTCCTAAGAACATATGTAGCTTTCAGCCTGCAAAAACCTGAAAAGATGATCAAGTTTCAAATCCACATGCTCCTGTTAGTTGGGCAACCCAAGACAACTTTTTACTCTCGTTTTTCTCACTGCTTCCTTAAACTCGGTTGTTTTAACACGCTTTTTCTAGCAGGCCTTTCCCCTTTGTGCTAGCCTGCTCAATCTCTAACCTAAAACGCTCTGGAAATGTCTGGCATTCCTTATGGATTCTAAAGCTGCTCTCTGCCCCTGGAACTTTTAGAGAAAGGTCCCTCCGTTTATAGCGCTTTGTTAAAAAAACTCACTACAATTTTTAGAAGCCCTTTTTGTTGTTCAAAGAAGTGATTACATTACAGGAAGTGATCTGCTTCTCAGACCAAATATCTAAGACAGAGTTCGCAAGTCTTAAGTTTCCACATGAGCAAATTGTAACCACGATTTCACCAAAAAAAATTAAACTGGAACCTCTTCATTTACTAAACGGGCCAGTTAGCCTAAACATTATTGCATATTTTTCCAAAACCAAAGTTTCAATCTCATCTACAGAATTTCAGATGTTCACTGACCACTGATATATTTATGGCAATAAAATTAGGTAAAGGTACAATTTTAACTTGTATGAGTTTTAGTGCATAAATACAGCTTAGATTCTGTTGCTCTAAATTTGATTTTTCATCATTTAAAATTCCAAATACACCACACTGACAGCTGTTTTTTAAAACAATGATTCATGGACAAACTGCAAAGACACAAGTGGCTTTTCAGAGCCTTCGACTGTGCACAAATTTAAAAGACACTTGGTGTTCAGAGGGATTTTGGAAACTGCCGATAGTGAATTAGCTCTAGAGTCATCATAAAAATTCTAGAACCACAAGTCAAACAAGAGATATTCAGAAAAATGAGAGTCAAAGTTAAGATAAACATCTGGGGGCCGGGTATGGTGGCTCACGCCTGTAATCCCAACACTTTGGGAGGCCGAGGCAGTCAGGTCGCATGAGCCCAGGAGTTTGAGACCAACCTGGGCAACACATTGAGCCGTCGTCTCTGCAAAAATTAGCTGGGCGTGGGGGCACATGCCTGTAGTCCCAGCTACTCAGGAGGCTAAGGCAGCATTGCTTCAGCTCAGGAGGCAGTGGTTGTAGCGCGTCAAGATTGCGCCACTGCACTACAGCCTGAGCAACAAAGACCTTGTGTCAAAAAAGAAAAAACAAAAAGAAAGAAAAAGGAACATGCCCATCTGGGCTCCACAGGTACTGACACATCCTCACATCCGTCAATCTCCCTCACTGGTTTTATTTTTCCCCCTGGCATTTACAGAGGGAAAATGAATACTATGTGTTTATTTGTTTCTTTTCCACAGGGCGAGGAAATTTTGGTGTTTTTAACTCGCCAATGTATCTCCAGTGCTCAGTAGATCTACTGAATCCACTACTGAGGAAACACCACATTGCAGCATTCTGGTGGGTGATATGACATTTAATTTTCCTAATATACAAGTTCTGATGAAAACTTCAGGCTGAGTTACAGGAAAATTATCTGTGGATTCCTATTATCTATGTACATTTTTTTTTTTTCTGAGCTAGCTGAGATTTTATTTTGGACCAAAAAAAAAAAAAAAAGCAATTGAATTGTTTTGCAGCTGGAGGCATGGGCAAGGGGGGTCCCCAGGCAGTAAACTCCCTGAGGGTGGGCTGAGGGCTAGGGCTGAGCATCAGGTAGGTCTCCTGTTCCCTGTGCTCCCCTGCACAGCGGCCCAGGCGTGCACAGCGGCCTCCCTCCTGGGCTCTGGAGGGGCAGGCTGGGAGGGGCTGTTGCAGCTGTTCACTTGGGCAGGACGTCAGAGGACTCCACCAGCCAGCCTCCCATCGGGGGTCTCAATCTTCTTCACAACCACAGCCTTGGTGGAGCTGGTGCGGCTGAAGGAGCTGGAGCCTGTGACAGAGCCAAAGCTGGAGACCAGGCCATAGCTGAGGCTGGGGCTTATGAGGCCCCCATAGGCAGAGCTCAGACCACCTGCATAGCCGCTGGTGGTCTTCGTATGGATACTCATGTTCTGCATCCTGGACTCCAGCCGGCTCTCCTCGCCCTCCAGTAGCTTGTGGTAGGTGCGATCTCGATGTCCAGGGCCAGTTTGACATTCATCAGCTCCTGGTACTCGCAGCTGCCATGCCATGTCCTGCTTGGCCCGCTGCAGGGCATCCTCCAGCTCCTTTTGCTTGGTAGGAGCATCCTTGAGTGTCTGCTCCCCGCACTCCTCAGCATCTGCCCTCGGTCTCAGCCTGGAGCCGGCTGATGTTTCGGTTCATCTCGGAGATCTCAGTCTTCGTACGCCGCAGGTCATCCCCGTGCTTCCCAGCCTCATCTGCAGCTCTTCATACTTGATCTGGTATACGCTCTCCGCCTCAGCCCGGCTGTGGGTGGTGATCTCCCCGTACTGCGCCTTGACCTCGGCGATGGTGCTGTCCATGTCCAGGGAGCGGCTGTTGTCCATGGACAGCACCACAGACGTGTCGGAGATCTGGGTCTGCAGCTCCTGGATCTCCTCTTCATACAGCTGCCTGAGGAAGTTGATCTCGTCAGTCAGTCCTTCCAGGCGAGACTCCAGCTCTACCTTGTTCATGTAAGCTTCATCCACATCCTTCTTGATGAAGACAAATTCGTTCTCCATCTCTGTAGCTTATTGATCTCTTCCTCATACTTGTTCTTGAAGCCCTCGACCAGCCCCTGCATGTTGCCAAGCTCCGCCTCCAGCTTCAGCTTCTCCTGGCCCAGAGTCTCCAGCTGCTGCCTCAGGTTGCTGATGTAGTTCTCACACATGCTGTCCATGTTGCTCCTAGCCGTTTTCTGCTGCTGCAGGAGGCTCCACTTGGTCTCCAGCATCTTGTTCTGCTGCTCCACGAACTGCACCTTGTCTATGAAGGAGGCAAACTTGTTGTTGAGGGTCTTGATCTGCTCCTTCTCCTTGGTACGCACGGCCTGGATGCTGGGGTCCACATCCACCTTAATGGGGTTCAGCAGGCTCTGGCTGATGGTGACGGCAGTGATGCCTCCCATGCCTATGCCGCTGGCCCCAGCATAGCCTGCACCCAGGCCACCCCGGAAGCCACTGCTGCTGACTCGGGAGAAGCTCGAGGAGCTCAAGCGGGCACTGGGCCCACTCGTGAAGGAGCGGCTGCTGAAGGCCCCGGGGCCAGAGGTGGACACCTTGTAGGACTTCAGGGTCACCCTGATGGACATGGTGGAGGCAGGAGTGGAGGCAGGCGGGCTGAACCAGGGAGAGATTCCAGAAGGAGCGGAGAAGCTGCTTCTTGGACCTTATCTACGTACATTTAATCTCCCTTAGTAGCCCAAGGGCTGCTGCCTCCTCCCTGCCTCATCCCTTCAGCTTAAGTTACAGATTATGGTCTGTACTGTTTCTACCTCTTGACCTTCCTTCGAATGGACAGGTGGATGCCCCTCCCTGAGAATGACTTCCCTTGGCTTCTGCAGTGAGCTGTTTGTGTCTCATTCTCCCTAAGCCCCTCTCCACGTGCATGCCTCTTCTGATCTAGTCCCACGGCTTCAATCCCCGCAAGAGCTCCCGGAGCTGTGCCCATCCTCGCCCTAATTCCTGTTCTATACCTGGCGGTCCTTTAGGGCCCTTCCACTTGAGTGTACCGAGTCCTTCCAAACACATTTCCAAGACTAGCCATTTCCTCCTTAATTAAGCCATCCCTACCCCTATGTATCTTCTCGTGAAAAAGCCATCAAACATCACTCAGCTCAACACATACATCTATCACCTAGTCGCCAGTCAAGGCAATTCATAAAACCAGACCAGAATAAAAACAAATAAAAAACCTGAAGTCGAACAGGTTTACTGTACCACAGGGAGACTACAGGTAATAATGTATTGTACGCTGGAAAATAACACCATGTTATACACCATAAGCATATAATTTTTGTCAAATAAGAAATACAATCTTTAAGCAAAATGTAAGTAATTATAAAACAGAAGACCTAATCTCTGCCTTGGATCTGAGATGCGCTTCCCCTGTACCCATTTCCTTTCTTTGCAGTGCAACCCGTTGCCCTGAAGTTCTACATGAAAGAGCTTTTACAGCTTCAGGAAATGATGTTCCTCTCATGCATCTAAAGCGTGCAATGGAGCAGATAAAGAAGGCACATGTATAGTGGTAGCCATGGCATTCACTAGCCAAGTGACTACCCAGAACCACTTGAGAATTGATTTGATATATGATTATGTATCTCTGCCTTGAATTACACAATACAATATCTATTAACATCAACAGTAATATATTCTAGGAAAATTGCAAATATTTTTGAAATTTGAATTGTTTTCCCATTAACACATACCACATTTATGAGACACTCCAAGGGTCTGACTGGCTGTCGTAAACGTCTTAGACTGCCTCCCCACCACTGCCACCTACCTGGCTCCCTTCCTTACACATTTTCAAATGGAAAAAATTTTACGATCAAAACTTTGGCAATGTAACGAATATTTTTGTAATAATTTCTTTTCATCGTTTCTCAAAGCGTGAACAATCTATCTTTACTACCCTTTTTATTTGGAAATAAAAGGGAAATAACAGCTTGTGTGTCCCTCAAGGAGAATGCTTAGGAATGGAGACGTTTCTGCTCTCGGGATGTCTGCGTTATGCTTATTGGTGCAGCACCTCTAACCTGACCATCTGAAATCTTCCAATGAGCATTTCCTTGGAACATCATGTTGGTGCTCAAAAAGCTTCAGATCTCAGAGCATTTTGGATTTTTAGATTAGAGATACCCAGGAATATGGTCTATTCTTGATTTTAAAAATTAAACACTGCAGGACGTGGGGTAAGGTAGGTTTATTTCAAAGCTGCCACCCAGGATGTTCAAAGTGGCTTCTCCTGCCTAACAGCAGACGTCCAGGCCACCAAGACCACATGCTCTTGGGTACAGAATGTATGTGAAGGGAGAGGACGGTACTGGGAAGAGTTCTGAGATACGGAGTGACTGCTTAACACCACACCATTTCCATTGCACAGTCACAATTAATCCTTTATCCTTCTTAGCACAGGAATGAATCATTTTTATATACTATACTGTACTGTACTGTACTAGAAAGAAAATCCACACATAAAATGCTTCTTGCAAAGCCAAAGGGCTCCCCCTACCCAAGCCTCGATCCCAGGGAGCAACACGACTCTCAGAAGATCCTTGCATTTTCCTTTCTTACTCCAAGCTGATGCCATTTTGCCCACCTCTGTATGGTTTGGCTCGTTTTTCTTTTCCATACTGTCAATCAACTTGAATTTGTCTATATTTATTTCCTCAGCTGGATAAACTTTCCCTTTATCAAGGTCCAGACCTAGGTTTACTGTTTTTTTCTATCGCCCATGATCTACGTCAAGGAAGAAGCATTTGAAGACAGCGTTTGTTGCTATCACTGCTCCCAGTGGAGGGAATGCTGTGCAATGCAGACCTCAAGTGAGTATTAGCAGCAGGAGCTGGAGGAAGCGCTCACCTCAAACCCCACACTTCTGCGCTTTGCCTTCTTTATTGCTCTGTTCTTCAAGACTTCCTCACTGGCCACTGAGAATGTCCCCACCTGCAAGTCAATACAAATGAAACAGGTAAAGCCAAAAAGCTGATAAAATGTTCAACAATAACAAGAAGCTAGAACTGAGCCACTGTTCGTAGCCTTTCAAAAAATAAATTTTGGCCAGGCACAGTGGCTCATGCCTGTAATCCTAGCACTTTGGGAGGCTGAGGTGGGTGGATAACCTGAGAGGCAGGAGTTTGAGATCAGTCTGGCCAACATGGCAAAATTCTGTCTCTACTAAAAATACAAAAATTAGCTGGGTATGGTGGTGGGCACCTGTAATCCCAGCCACTTGGGAGGCTTGAACCCAGGAGGCAGAGGTTGCAGTGAGCTGAGACATCACCACTGTACTCCAGCCTGGGTAACACAGCAAGACTCTGCCTCAAAAAAATAAACTTTATATTTATAACATATACATGTTTTTAAGATGAGTCCTGCCCAACTTGCCCACTGTACAAAAGGCCACAGAGGCACCTAAGACCCTGCTGGAAAACTACTGCTTTTCTACAGTGCACTCAAAGCGCAATGACGTCCACATTCCTGATATCCACATCAGAAATCTGATGAAGATCTTTGGCTTTAGCTTATAACCCTTCTTTTACCCTGTAGGGTTGGAATAAAATACTTCCCAAGCAAAAATTCTACCTATAGCTGTTTCAGATTATATTATACTTTTTTTTTTGTGAGACGGAGTTTCGCTATTGTTACCCAGGCTGGAGTGCAATGGCGCCATCTCGGCTCACTGCAACCTCCGCCTCCTGGGTTCAAGCAATTCTCCTGCCTCAGACTCCCGAGTAGCTGGGATTACAGGCACGCGCCACCATGCCCAGCTAATTTTTTTATTTTTAGTAGAGATGGGGTTTCACCATGTCAACCAGGATGGTCTCGATCTCTTGACCTCGTGATCCACCCGCCTTGGCCTCCCAAAGTGCTGGGATCACAGGCATGAGCCACCGTGCCCGGCCTATATTACACTTAATGGGATCCCTACACTCACAGATGGGACCATGTGACTGCACTTGCCCAAAGTTAAATGTACTTAACTAAACGTAATCTTTCCACACTTATTTCACTAGCATATGTTCCAATGGGAGTTCTTTCATTCCTGAGTATTTCAATGTCTAAGCAAATTGTTAATGGTAATCCAGCTGTTACTATAGCCCAGAATGTAACTGTGCTTAAGACCTTAAACCAACAACAAAAAACCAAAAACCCCCGTAAACAAAGACATAGTTAAAAAGCACCAATCAGTTTGCCATCAAACGTAACATCCTTGTGATTCTGGTTTCCCTAAACATATGCGAGTGCATGCACTTGTAAAGAAAAAAGTACCAGTACTAGAAAGACTCAGAAAGAAGATGGCAGTCGAAGAATAAGCTTCAGAACACTTGCAAGTGTTTAAACTTTTGTTTACTTAGCACTATGCTGTTAACCTGAAAGGCTAACTGGGTTAGATTTCCTTAGTGATCTGGCCTGGGAGTAACATACTGCTGATGAGGCACTGTAAGATGTGTTCTAGTCTTGGTTTTTTAGACAGGGTCTCACGCTGTTACCCAGGCTGGAGTGCAGTGGCACAATCATAGGTCACTGGTCTTGAACTCCTGGGCTCAAGCAACCCTCCCACCTCAGCTTCCTGAATTGCTGTGACTATAGGCTCATGCCACCATGTTCAGCTAATTTAAAAAAAATATATTTTTTAATAGAGATGGGGGTCTGTCTATAATGCCTAATTAAAAAAAAAAAATTATTGAGGGCGGGCACGGCCTATAATCCCAGCACTTTGGGAGGCCGAGGCAGGTGGATCACAAGGTCAAGAGATCGAGACCATCCTGGTCAACAAGGTGAAACCCCGTCTCTACTAAAAATACAAAAATCAGCTGGGCATGGTGGCACGTGCTTGTAGTCCCAGCTACTTGGGAGGCTGAGGCAGGAGAATTGCCTGAACCCAGAAGGCAGAGATTGCGGTGAACCGAGATCGCGCCATTGCACTCCAGCCTGGGTAACAAGAGCAAAACTCTGTCTCAAAATAAATAAATAAATAAACAAACAATGTATTATTTTTGATTTATTAATTATTTATTATGCACCCGACCCTAAAAATTATTTTTTAATAGAGATGGGGGTCTCTCTATGATGCCTAGTCCTACTGTTTGTAAGGGAAAAATGATCAGATTTCCTCAAGGGAGACCATTTTTATTTTGCTGGAAAACAAACTAGGCCAATCTAAATTCTATTCCTATGAATGCAGTTGCTACAGGTCTCAGATCACCATTAAGAACAAAAAATGGCAGGGCGCGGTGGCTCACGTCTGTAATCCCAGTACTTTGGGAGGCCAAATCGTGTGGATCACAAGGTCAGGAGTCCAAGAGCAGGCTGACCAACGTGGTGAAACCCTGTCTCTACTAAAAATACAAAAAAATTAGCCAGGCATGGGGGTGTACACCTGTAATCTCAGCTGTTCAGGAGGCTGAGGCAGGAGAATCTTTTGAACCCTGGAGGCGGGGGTTGCAGTGAGCCAAGACTGTGCCACTGTACGCCCGCCTGGGCAACAAAGTGAGACTCCATTTCAAAAACAAAAAAACCCACAGGAAATAAAGCAAGCCTCCAAGAAGCATTAGGGAAAGGGGGCACTGCAGACAGAGACGGTGACAGTGGGCCACTTTTCACATCTGAGAAGCGTGCTAAGTTCATGACTAGATCACTTAACTCAGCCTTCAGTCATGACTAAAGCGGCTTCCTGCAAACCATGGGTTTAGAATGCTTCAAGGTTACGAAACTCGGGGAAAGTGCTTCTATTAAGGAGAGTATTTAGGGAACAGGCACTAGTGGAAAAGCACGACTAAATGTAATACATTTCTACACTAACTAGAGGTCATAGGAAATGTAATTAATAAATTTCTATGCTAAATACAGGTCATATGATTTCTTATCATCTCCCATTCATGACGTTTTTTAGAAAGGTCTTTTAGTTTTATCACAAGTCTTCATGAGGAAGCCTAAAATGAATTTAGAAGGCAGAATAAACAGGAAATCACTCTCAGGGAAGCTATTTTTTTTTTTACCTCTTCAGCTTCATCCTCTTGATCCCAATTCCTTTCTGTCAGTTCCTTCTCGGCAATTCTTTTGGCCATGTTTCCAAACCTAAGTTACAGAAAACAGAAGTAAAAAGTTTACTTTTCTAAATGAATAAATTCTTATACAGAGTTTGAAAAATTCACTCTAATATGAAGTGAAGTAAGAACACCTGTGATGCCACTGGAAACTGCTCTAATGCGAACTTCACAATGGCGCTGTTAGGCTCCAGTGTTACAAATCCAATAAAGGCTTTTTCTAGGAGGCAGAAGAAGATTCCCAGGGAACACCAGCACTCCTGAATAACACTAAACCAACTCCATTTGGAAAAATGAAAATGAAATATCAATTCATTTTTAATATCTGGAATCTGAAAAACTATATATGATCAAAAAGTCCTTAACTTATTCTATGCATATACTTAAAAGTTTTGCCATAAGCAAAATAATTTTAAAATTTAAAATTTATAATTTAAAATTCTTTTAAAGATGACCCATTAAAGAAGTGTATCTCTCAGTAAAAATACCAATAAGGTGCTGGAAACACTCTCACCACAGGAATACTGTTTTTTAGGCTACACTACACAGAGATACACAGTTCCCAAGACTGAAAGTTTCATTGCCCCAAACTATATTGCTAAGACATTTAGAAGTTCAAAATGAGGCCAAGCATGGTGGCTCATGCCTGTAATCCTAGCACTTTGGGAGGCCGAGTCAGGCGGATAACCTGAGGTCAGGAGTCTGAGACCAGCCTGGCCAACATGATGAAACTCTGTTTCTACTAACAATACAAAGATCAGCCAGGCATGGTGGCAGGTGCCTGTAATTCCAGCTACTCGGGAGACTGAGGCAGGAGAATCACCTGAACCCGGGAGGCAAGGTCACAGTGAGTTGAGATCTCGCCAATGCACTTCAGACTGGGGAACAAGAGCAAGATTTCATCTCAAAAAAAAAAATTTCAAAATGATTTACATTGATGTATTAGTATTCTGAGAACGTATAACCTTTCAAAAATAAATCAGTGGCTTAACTCTTCAATAACATGGCATTAGTGGAAGGCACACGAGTTGGGGAACAGCATGAACTCTGCACTGGACTCCAGCAACTATCCAAAGAGGGTGCTCCTGTCCAGCCCGTAAAATCTGATTGGTTTTCTGACCCTAGTATGGTAATAACAACAACAAAACAAAAGCCTCACAACCCAGAGCTCTGCTGAGTGTTGTGCTGGCTTCTTCACTAACCCTCCAGCTGGATAAAACACCTTCTCATTTCCCTCGCTCTCCACCTCGCCCAGGAACTTACTGATGAGTTATGCGGACCTGCCAGGTCTTGCTGAACCTGCCTGAACTCCTTCCTGATACGCTCCCCACTCTTGTTTGCACTCAACACCACAACACACCAGAGTAAGCTTCCTAGAACTCTGTGGTCACTAAGACATAAAGGGACTCATCACTCTTTAGTACCTACAAAGTAAAATGCAAATGTCAGCATTCCAGAGGCCTCTAAAATCTGATGCCCAGTAGAGTAACTACACAGGGGCTTTCGGCTTTTTCACACGTCTTAATGATTCTTACATTGTCTAAGTATGTACTATTTTTCTGTTACGAATGATTTTAAAGTCTAAGATTCTAAAATATAAAGTATGAGAAATAAAGACACTTCCCATTGCCTGGGAACTCTCTTTTTAATGTCCACCCAAAACACTTGGTTTTGTCATTAATCTTTGCCATACAAACAAAAAGAAACACAGAAATAGACATAATTCTTTACTGTTCAGAAACCAGGTCTCTGTACAGATTCTTCTGGCAATTTTCCTCCTCATGAACATCTTCACCAGGGCGCTGGAGAAGAACTTCGCAATGGTCATGTTTGCTATTTAAGATTCACTGTGGGGCCAGTGCAGCGCCTCACACCTGTAACCCCAGCACTTTGGGAGGCTAAGGGAGGAGGATCACTTGAGATCAGGAGTTTGAGACCAGCCTGGTGGGGACCAGCCTGGTCAACAAGGTGAAACCCCGTCTCTACTAAAAATACAAATAGTAGCCAGTCATGGTGGTGGCGGCGCCTGTAATCCCAGCTACTCAGGAGGCTGAGGCAGGAGAATCGCTTGAAACCAGGAGGCGGAAGTTGCAGTGAGCTGAGATCACACCACTATACTCCAGCCTTTGCGACACAGCGAGACTCCGTCTTTTTCAGGAAAGAAAAAAAAGCTTAACTATGGAGAAAAAAGGATGGAGCTGAATGCACAAAAACTGTAACAGGAAAATTTTACCTTCTAACTCATACCACAGTGAAGAGACAGGTGGCACAGTAAAATAGTCTAAATAAATGTAAGTGCTTCCACGCCCTAACATATTCATCACACCAGTATATAACCAAAAGGCAGGGATCTTTGTTTACAGATATACCCCAAATGCCCCATCAGTGCCCAGCTCTAACAGCAGGTGTCCTGTCATTAGATCAGTGATCTGGGATAGTACATAAAGCATTTGAAAAAAATACGGAAAGATGCTGGAACCCGGTTTTGCCATGTTTTAGCTGTGAGACCTTGGGCAAGCTGTATTTCATTTGTGTGCCTCAGTTTCTTCATCTGTGGAACAGGGAAGTATCAAGAAAGTTAAGAAAGATAAAAAAAAAGATGGGCTTAGAATAGTGCCTGGAGCTGGGTGGGTGAGGTGACTCAGGCCGGTAATCCCAGCACTTTGGGAGGCCAAGGTGAGTGGATCACTTGAGGTCAGGAGTTCAAGACCAGCCTGGTCAACGTGGTGAAATGCTATCTCTACTAAAAATACAAAAATTAGCTGAGTGTGGCAGCTGGCACCTGTAATCCCAGTTAACTTGGAAGGCTAAAGCAGGAGAACTGCCTGAACCTGGGAGGTGGAGGCTGCAGTGAGCCGAGATCATGTCACTGCACTGCAGCCTGGACAACAGAGCGAGACTGTTGCCAGAAGCATGGGTGGGTGGGAGGGAAGGGCATCTGGCCAGGCATGGTGGCTCACAAGGTCATGAGTTCGAGGCCAGCTTGGCCAACATAGTAAAACCCCATCTCTACTAAAAATACAAAAATTAGCCAGGCGTGGTGGCGGGTGGCTGTGGTCCCAGCTACTCAGGAGGCTGAGGCAAGAGAATCGCTTGAATCTGGGAGGTGGAGGTTGCAGTGAGCCAAGATTGCGCCACTGCACTCTAGCCCTAGGCGACAGAGTGAGACTCGTCTAAAACAACAACAACAAAACAGTGCCTGGAACAGAGGAAGGGCTTAATGAATTATTTAAAAAACAAGTTTAGTTAGAAGCAAAGGCTATGAACTACCATCTTCCGTCCAAAACTTGAAAGCTGTAGCACTGCAGCATGGAAGAATAACCTGGATTACAAATCAGACTTTTAAAAACATTCTACCAAATCCCTATTTTATTTCAAAGCATGACACGTCAGACAATACATTTTCCTTTTATGCTAGAAGTGGAAAAAAAAATAAAACACTCTGTAACCTATTCAGAAACAAGGCTGTCACCTGGACAGTCTTAATCTAGCTCTTATTATAAAAAATTTAAGGGAGGCCGAAGGATTACTGAAAGTCAGGAGTTAGAAACTTACCTGGTCTCTACAAAAATAGAGAGACATAGATTAGATGAATAAATACAAATAAAAACTTAGCCGGGCAAGGTGGAGCACACCTGTGGTCCCAGCTACTTGGAAGACTGAGGCAGGAGAAGCACCTGAGCCCAGGAGGTTGAGGCTACAGCGAGCCACTACTACACTCTGGCCTGGTGACCGGAATCTCAAACAACCAATAAAAGGAAATTTTAAAAACGTTTGTGCTTGTGGGTAAAACACACACACACACACCAAGTTTGACATGATTGCTAGGGATGAAGCAATGTGGTAGTAGACTAGGTAAACTGGACAAAACATTACATGTGCCTGATATAGTTACGTGGTCTCTGGCATCGATGCCGCTCTGCCCTTGAAGCTGAACTTGTCAACATCAGCTTAAAACGAAAACACAGATTTGGCTATATTTAATAGTGAGGTGCCTTGTTGGAGGAAGAGAACAAGGGGACCAACCAAGGAGACAGAAATACCAAATCTCCAAACTGTTTCTTAATGGAATTGAGCAAAGGAGTGATCGATGACCCGGGAACGCAGTAAGAAAGCGAAGCCAGGGCCGGGCGCGGTGGCTCACGCCTGTAATCGCAGCACTTTGGGAGGCCGAGGCGGGTGGATCACGAGGTCAAGAGATCGAGACCATCCTGGTCAACATGGTGAAACCCCGTCTCTACTAAAAATACAAAAATTACGTCCGGGCGCAGTGGCTCACGCCGTAATCCCAGCACTTTGGGAGGCCGAGGCGGGTGGATCACGAGGTCAAGAGATCGAGACCATCCTGGTCAACATGGTGAAACCCCGTCTCTACTAAAAATACAAAAATTACGTCCGGGCGCAGTGGCTCACGCCGTAATCCCAGCACTTTGGGAGGCCGAGGCGGGTGGATCACGAGGTCAAGAGATCGAGACCATCCTGGTCAACATGGTGAAACCCCGTCTCTACTAAAAATACAAAAAATTAGCTGGGCATGGTGGCGCGTGCCTGTAATCCCAGCTACTCGGGAGGCTGAGGCAGGAGAATTGCCTGAACCCAGGAGGCGGAGGTTGCGGTGAGCCGAGATCGCGCCATTGCACTCCAGCCTGGGTAACAAGAGCGAAACTCCATCTCAAAAAACAAAAAAGAAAGCGAAGGCAGGCCAGAGAGGTAATGGGGCCAGGAGAAGAGAGACGAGGGGGGGCCAGGGAGAGAGAAGAATCGAGAGGAATCGCAAGGAAGGAAACGGAGACGACCAAGCCGAGACCGCCCCCGCCAGCCCCGCACCTCCGCCGGGGCCCAAGGGCGAGCCTCACTCCAGTCCAGCGCCTCAGCCCGGGGAGGCCCGAGCCCCGCCGCTGTCATCCCACCCCACCCTCCGCCCGCCCGCGCGCCCGACCCACGGCTCCCTCCCTAGGGTTCCCGCCCCTAGCCCTGCACCCCGCTCCCCAGGGTCCGGTTCTCCAGCCCCGCATGCCCCTCCCAGGGTCCGGTCCCCCGGCCCCGCACCCTCCTACCTAGGATCCCGGCCCTGAACCCACGTCCCACTCCACGAGGTCCCGTTCCCCGGCTCCTCTCTCTCCCCAGGGTCCCACCCCCGCCTTTGAACCCCCATCCGCATCCCCAGGGTCCGGTTCCCCAGTCCTGGACCGGCACTCCCCTCCCGAGAGTCCCCAGCCCCGCACTCGCACTCCCCACCCAGGCCCGAGCCCGAGCCCGCTCCCGCCCTCCCGGCCCTGGGCTCTCAGCACCAGGCTCCCGCCCTCAGCCCGTTTCCCTCTGGCGCCAGCAGCCGCATCTTACCTGCCAAGCGGCGGCCGCAGCACTAGCTTGGTCTTGGGCGCGGCGGCGCTGGGTGTTGAAGCGGCTGGTGGTGGCCCGGCTGTGCGCGCTCGGCCGCTTCCGGTGCTGCACTGCGGCTCTCAGAGGACTCGGTGCTCCGCAAGTCCTGAGACACAAACACCATATCCCCGGGGGAGGCCCCTCACGCTGTGTTCGGCAGGGAGGCGACAGCGCCGGCTCAGCCGGAGACCGCTGGGGGAACGCCGCGGAACACGCTCCGGGCGGCCATTTTGTAACTCGAATCTACCCCCAAAAGCAATTCGAAAAAAAAGGGAGGAAAGAAACGCCCGCGTTCAGCTATTGCGCAAGCGCGCCGGAGACACAGCCGCAGCACCGCCTTCCGCCCGCCGGGCCCCTCACGCGGCGCATGCGCCCAGTTCCCTGGAAACCCGCGTGGGGCGGAGCGCGCCCATCTCGCGCAAGCGCGCATGTGCCGACCTTAATAGCGGCGTCGGCTGTCAACGCAGCGGCTTGAGCTGTCCGCTCGCTCGAGCGGGGCTGGCTGTGCGTCTTCTAGGCTGTTCGCGCGCTAGTCGCCGCTGAGGGGCTGGCGATGCGCGAGGAGCTCCGGCTAGGAAGGTCAGTCGGTGGAACGTGTCCGAAGCCTGCGGTGTCCGCGTGTGGGAGCTTTAGGGCTGAGGACAGGCCGCCCGCGACCCTCGGGAGTCGCTTCCCAAGTCAGGCGGCCCCGCCCAGGTGTCTCTGCTGGCGGTTCGCAGCCGGGGGGGCCCCGAGGGGCTGCGTCGCGGCGCTGGGAGGGGCCGTGTGGACCGCCCGTTAAAGGACCCCCTCGTCGTTCAGCAGACGACTGACACGTGTTTTTGCGTCGGGCGCCTTGTGTCTTTTCAGACACTGAGATCCCTTCGTGTTCAGCCCTCAGCTGGGGGAACGAGCCCCGTGGCTTCCGCGCTGAGGGAGTCCACAGGCTCGGCAGCCTCTGAGCGCCTTTCTCCCCAGCAGTTTGCGATCCCTCATCCCAGGCCCTGTCATTCCCTCCTGCCTCAGCCTCCCGAGCAGCTGGGACTACAGGCAGGCGCCATCACGCCCGGCTACTTTTTGTATTTTCGGTAGAGACGAGGTTTCACCAGGTTGGCCAGGCTGGTCTCGAACTCCTGACCTCAGGTGATCCACCAGCCTCGGGCTCCCAAAGTGCTGGGATTAGAGACGTGAGCCACTGCGCCCAGCAAATGCTTTCGTTCTTAAGATATTGTTAGGTTTTAGGCCCGGCGCGGTGGCTCAAGCCTGTAATCCCAGCACTTTGGGAGGCCGAGGCGGGTGGATCACGAGGTCAAGAGATCGAGACCATCCTGGTCAACATGGTGAAACCCCGTCTCTATTAAAAATACAGAAAATTAGCTGGGCATGGTGGCGCGTGCATGTAATCCCAGCTACTCTGGAGGCTGAGGCAGGAGAATTGCCTGAACCCAGGAGGCGGAGGTTGCGGTGAGCCGAGATCACGCCATTGCACTCCAGCCTGGGTAACAAGAGCGAAACTCCATCTCAAAAAAAAAAAAAAAAAAAAAAGATATTGTTAGGTTTTAAAGGGGAGGCAAGGGTTAGAGAATGACACAGGTCAGCGTGGTGGCGCACTCCTGTAATCCCAGCACTGTGGGAGGCCGAGGCTGGTGGATTACCTGAGGTCAGGAGTTCGAGACCACCCTGACCAACGTGGTGAAACCTTGCATCTACCGAAAATACAAAAATTAGCCGGGCGTGGTGGCGCATGTCAGCAATCCCAGCTACATGGAAGGCTGAGGCAGGAGAATCATCACTTGAACCCGCGAGGCTGGGGTTGCAGTGAGCCAGGATGGCACCATTGCACACCAGCTGGACAATAAAGTGAGGCTCAAAAAAAAAAAAAAAAGAATGACACACGGGTCAGCTCAACAGCAACACAGGTATGTTGCAAAAGCCTGTGGAGATGGGGGATCAGCTTAATGGCAGAGCCCACTGCTGCTTACAGGCTGGGGTACTTATGGGGGGAGGGGAATGGGCAGTATGGCTTGCTGCCTGCAGTATGTTGATAAAATTTACTGTGATCAGGCAGTTTTGCCCTTGTTCCCACAGAATGTGATAGTTACGTTCCTTGGATCTTTGCCCAGCAGGGTTTGATAGGGACGTTCTTTCAACTGGGCCTTGGCCCAGCTGTGTATGATAAGAAAGGCAGTTGGCCAGGATATTTCTCCTGACCCAAACCTCCCCGGAACGTTTCACTTTGACCTGGGTCCGCGAAATGGCCCAGGGGGCTTAGGAAATAGTGCAGTTTGGACTACAGATAGTGGGACATCAAAACGTTTCCTGGGTCTGTTAAGTCCTGGGTTTGTTTAGTAAACGTGATTAAATCTGTTCCCTTAATCTTAAACATCTTGTGACTATGAAGAATGCAGCCAGCAGGTCTCTGCCGCATTTTACTCAGCATCTATTCGAGGTGGAATGCCTCCGACAGACTTGCTGCTTGATCCCTAGGCTGTGACCATGTCAGAAATAGAGGCAGCTTAGGTCAAGGTACACTCAACACTGAATTGTAGCTTAGTTAAAATCAGAACTTTTGTTCTTGCAGTAATACAGTAATGTAAGGGTAAGCAAAGTGACACATTTACTTCTTAATTACACATTGTAGCATTGAAATAACGGATGCCTTTCTGCAAATAAAAAAGATCTGTGCTTCTGATAGCACTACAGCTGACTTGCTCATTGCTGGATGGAGTTCAGTGTTAACTAAAGTGGCAACTTTAAACTGCTTTAGCTCCCGGAACTGAGGCACTCTGCATGCAGACATCTACCTACTTTGAATTCGGTTCCTTCCTTTTAATGAAGCTCAAGTCTCGTGTTATGAAATAGTCCTCCAAAGGTGTTAGCCACTTTTTCCCTATAATCTGCCTTTGAAAAAAATCCCTTTCAATTTGCTTAACCCCTGAGAGCCAAAGGGCTTTGATGGTTGCTAGGCTAGGTCATTGTCATCATGTTCAGTAAATAAATATCTAGACGTCGGTTTATCTGCCTTACCTAATTCCAAACGAGTTCACGGTGATCCTGCCTTTCTGTTGATAGAGGTCCATGCCAGGAGCCAACTTTCTATTAGTTTTGCCGCGGTGATCAAGTCAGAAATGTCTCAGATCATTCAAACCCAGTTTAACCTAGTAAAGAAAATAGCAAGATAATCTTGTCGTATTCCAGCTGTGTTCTAACCTTCATTTTTTTTAGGTAGGCTCAAACCTCCACCTGGAGTCATTCCCGTTAAGATTTACCAGAAAACGCCCAACAACAGGAAGGCTGCAGGACTACGCTTGGCTCCCAATGTTAAGGAATGAAAACAGGAAAAGTTCTGTTACCTGTCTGGCAGTGGAGCTTCGGAGTTAGTCTCCTGGCCATGTCACTTACCAGCTTGGCAGCCTCGGACAGACGGAACTCTCTGAGCTCAGTTTCCTCATCTGTAAAGTGAGGGCATACTCTGTACCTTTATTCAGCGGTAGAGATTTCAGTGTGAACACTTAGGTAAAGCGCACAGTACGGGCTGAGTAAATGGACGGTTACTGAGGTGCCATCACTTGTTTTTAGGTTCCTTGGAGCTTTCCCCCTAAACACCTCAAAAGATTTTCATTATTTTTTCTAATGCTAATATTTTTCTAATTCTTGTTTTAAAATATTTTACTGTAAAATATTTTGGCCTGGCCTAGTGGCTCACGCCTGTAATCCCAGCACTTTGGGAGGCCAAGGTGGGCAGGTCACTTGAGCCCAGGAGTTTGAGACCAGCCTAGGCAACATGCCGAAACCCCATCTCTACAAAAACTATAAAAATTAGGTGGGCATGGTGGCATGCGGTAGTTCCAGCTACTTGGGAGGGCTGATGTGGGAGGATTGCTTAACCCTGAGAGGTTCAGGCTACAGTGAGCCATGATTGCACCACTGCACCCCAGCCTGGGCAACAGAGTGAGACTTGTCTCAACATAAATAAATAAAATATTTTATTTGTGAAATGATAATTTGGTTTCTTTTCTTGACTGATAAAAAATAAAACTTTCTTTCACCTCCACTGAGGCTTAAAAGAACAAAAAGAAGTGTAACTGACATTAAGAGGTTTTGGCTGCTAAACCATTGTTAATATTGAACCGAGTTCCTGTGATTCTGGCTAAAAGCAAAGAACTGTGATGTTTTAGCCAGAGCAGTTTTATTATGAGTTAGATTTATGATTCCCAGTAGGCTTTTTGAAATGTCGCCCAGAGGTCAGGGACTCCCTGTCCCCATTCATAGATTCTAGACTGAATCTTTCCCAGTATGAACACATTTGGCTCTGTGACAAAGACTTCTTAAGCTGGGATTCAGCTGGGTTGCCTTGAGACTTTGGGCAGAGCACATGACTTGTTTTGTCCTAGACATTCCAATCCACTGGACACTCAGAAACTTTCACAGCTTGTATTTTTCGTATTTTAGGCTTCGGCGCAGAAGGATTAAAACTAATGGCTAGATTTTCTAGTGCTGTTACATATTTTTTCTTGAAGTTTTATAGTCACTTAAAATAATGTATGTTAAAAAAAAAAAAAAAAAAAACTTAAAGATAGCCTGAAAAAGCAGATCTTTTTTCTGAGGACAAAATTAGCTGATTAAGAAAACCATCAAGAGACATCACCTGCCAATGATGATAGAGGCAAGAATTGTTCGGCCTTCCGAGGAGGGAGAAATCAGTGCAGGCAGAAGTGATTAAACATTCACATCTTGGAGCTAACTGACCTCCTAGGATGGAAGTGGAGAGGCGGGGAAGGGTGCTGATGAAGTAACTGGGAAAGCTCCTTTTTCTTACTGTTTTTCTTTGGCCCCTTCATAGGCACAGCTGCTTAAAGAAACCAGATTGCCCCAGGATGGTGCCAGAGCTTCTTGACCCCTCATCAGATACCAGAGTAAGATAAGACTGCAGAGTGGAACAGGATAGGCAAGCCCTAGTTGACTTCAGATCATTATCATGTCGCTATAATGCTAAAATTCCCTCCCTGAAAGAAAATCTCCGCCATTTTGTGTACATGTGATGTATGAAGACATATGTTTAGGAATTGTGCGTCCACATTTAGAGTCTCACTTCGCACATGCTGACCTTCCTCTCCTG